CACGTCTGGTTATTGTTTCACTTTTGGATCAGGGTGTTTCTCATGGCTCAAAGAAACAGGAAATAGTAGCACAATCAACAGCTAAAGCAGAATTCATCGCAGCAGCAACCACTATTAATCAAGCACTATGGCTTAGGAAAATTTTGATCGATTTGCAGCTGGAGCAAATAGAGAGCACTGAAATCCTTGTGGATAATCAAGCTGCTATAGCCATATCCAAAGATCCCGTGTTTCATGGAAGGACCAAGCACTTCAACATCAAGTTTTATTTCTTGAGGGAAGTGCAGAAAAACAGTGAAGTGGTTTTATTCTATTGCAAATTAGAGAATCATGTGGCGGACATTTTTACAAAGTCATTTCATGTTAGCAGATTTGAATTTCTTAGAGAAAAGTTGGGAGTTTGCAGCTCCTGATTCAGGAGGAGTGTTGTTACGTGTCTCAGGATCTGCTTTGAATGGGTCAGAGACTTCAGCTGATTATTAGGAGATTAGTTTTCTTTTAGTCATTATCCTATTAACTAGTTATAGTTGTTCCTATTTTATAGGCATGTTAGCAGTCCATGTTCTGTGTTAGTTGTACTGCCCCTCTACTTATTTAATCAGCTTGAAGTTCAATAAAATTTATTCTTCAGATTTTCAATGCATCTTGTTGTTTCAATTAAATTAATAACAGGATAGAAGAAGAGAATGAAAAAAAAGAGCGAAGAAGAGAAGGTTGAGAACTCATCTGAGACGACAATTTGTTGGCTGATTTTTTTTCTTAGCAGTACAAAACACAAATGGCACGGCTTGAAATGGTCTGCTAAATAAAAAGTAGATACACGTGTTCAATAGTAATGAAATAGACCTGTGTAGAAGTTGTTACCCTACAAAAACGACAACAACCTGAGAAGTTATGATATTCACTTAACTTATTTTTGTGCATCATTCAAAAGCTCCAAAACAGTCATATAATAAACATTATGGTCTCAAGTTATTGCTTCCCATTGTCATATAAGTATTCTTTAATTCATTAGTGTGCAATTCGTATATACAAATATGACAAAAGACAGTCAAGTTACTTATAAAAGTTGAATCTAAAGATGAAGTGTTCTCTAAGTTTTGAATCACAATGCTAAATCTAGAATTTATATCCAAGAATAACTACTTAATACAATACCATAATCAGTACACAAAACAGAACACTAAGATTTTTTTTGCATGAAAAAGGCACCCAAAATTTAAAAGGTTTGATAAAGGTATGTGAGATTGTATCTAAAGGACTTGAAAATCTTTAAATCAACCCCTCCTCTTACTTTGTTCTTCTTGTTGTTCTGCTTCTAAAGTGTTCACTTTAAGGACAACATGTAAGGAGTAAGCTGGCAGTGTTGAAACTCTCTTCCCAATAGCAGTTTTATAGATGCTCGATCTGGAGATAAGTTAATTGGCATATTAGTATACTTAATTTTGGTACAAAGAACTTGGAGAACATTAAAGTAGGTAATAATTACATGAACTATACTTAGAACTCGAAGTCTACAATAATAGTTAAGTAGTAGAATGAGGAAGAGACTATGCAAATCAGTAGAGGCCAAATGTACAGCACAATTTGTAAGGTTTTAGTATAACAATTTAATGCAGTGTTCGTCCTCAAGCTTGTTTACTTACGGAAACCTTACAAGTATTTGAGAAGGTAAACAAAAGGGTAGGTTTTTATCTTGTTATTCTGAAATTCTCTTAATATCTGATTTCCACATAAAGATACATGAGTTTCAACCTTTTGAGTATCAATTCATCTATAAGGAGGCTTATGTAAAGTTCATTTGATGAATCTACGTATTCTTGAGGGAGTTTTCCTAGCCAGACCACTAATGGTGATCTCTCTTACATGGGTCCTTTTTTCTCAATTCCTTTTTTCCCTTCCGGCTTCATCCATATATAATCTTAAATATATTTTGATCAAAGTTCCTTTGGGAAAGTCAATTGTCAAATTCAAAATCTAATGAAAATGAATGTGTCATCAATTATGTTGCTCGAACTCTTTAAAAATGTCAACGGATGCATGTCAGATTCAGTGGCGTATGCAGGATTTTTCATAAGCGGTGTCACCTTTTAAAATGAGAAAATAAATAAAATAATATAAACCATATTTTTAAAAAAACACAAATAAAACACAATTCATGTATATTATTATAGTTTTTTTCAATTGAGTTTTTTTTTATGAAATGTATTTAAATTAATCTCCTTGATAATATTATACTAAGTTTTTGTTTATACAAACAACATACCAAATAATTACTAAACAAAGAAGGTCAGAGAAAAAAAAACATAAAAAACGAAGCTATGTAGGATTGAACACGCAACCTAGCCTAAGGAATTTCAGCACAAAACCAACTAAGCTACGTACTTCTATCGTTCTAGCAGTTTCACTTGTATTATATACACGCTATATTTGCTTTTGTTTCTTAACCTATTTAGCATTTTTTTCCGACGAAGCAGTGTCACGTGACACCCCTTTTCCCTTACTAAATCCACCCTTGACTCAGATTCTCCAAAAGTAGGGTATTTTTAGAGAATCCGACACAAGTGCGGTGCGGCATCATCAGTGAAGAGTCCGCACAACGTAAGTCATCCATACTCCCATTGATACAATAACAAATAAATTGATATCACAATCGACTATATAATTATAATAGAAAAGCAAGCATGCATAATCACATAAAAACAAAAGAAACTGAATATACCAAACAATTTAGAGAGATCCAGAAGAGAAGAGTAACCGGGAAAAAAGCTAACCTTTTGCTGCGCTAATTAGTTGAAGTTCCTAAATACTACTTCTAAAAAGATCATATTTGTACCTTGTGAGAATTCTAATAAAAAACTTATCACATATATGAATTTGTACGAATAAGAACACACAAGTGTATATGTCTGTCAAATAAACCTAAACTCTGCTTTTTCACAATATCAATAATTAAAAATACAAACTTCTTATTACATGTTCAAAGAAAAGAAATGGAAACCTCATTTGCACACCAAAAATAAATACAACAACAACACAGTATAGTCATAATTGAGCACAAGCATGTACAAAAGCAACTAAGCGAAGAGGCAAAAGTACAAAACAATCGGATCTAACATCAATTAGCCGATGAAGTAATTGAAAGTAATACCATAATTCTGGTTTTTACGAAATTTGATGCCAAAGATTCAAAAATAACATGCATCAAATAATAAACCACTTACCCATGAAACTAAAGTTCATATAGAATCCAAGAAAAATTCACAAACAGATGTTCAGAGCAAAGAAAAAAATTGTAATAAAAATATATAAAAAACGCAGAGGAAAAATTTAAATCCCTAGAATAGAAATCCATACCAATGAATAAATAAGTTACAAATCTAAATTGTTTATATACATCCATGTACGTAGATGTTGGTAGGGGTAGATGCATATAAAAAGGCTACATGTAAATGGTCCCTTATATAGATTCACCAAGATGGTGAATAGCTTAAATAAGGATTGTGCTTGTTGTTCTTTCATGTAATATTTATATCCATTTATGAAGAATCTAAGTTATACCGTGTGAAATCTCTTTCTAATATCAAATCCGAAAGCAAAATGCTCAAAGTACTCAAAATGTCAACAATCACGAAGGTGAAATACTCTAAAATATGAAATCAAACTTCATGATTTGAGACAAACTTCAAAACATAATCACTTTTTCACACACTAACCACCACCAATATACTAATCCTATTTATAAGCCCATAAAAAATCTCATATAATATTTAACTTTGAAAAAAACGAACAAAGCTCACAGCTAAAAACATCAAATTTAAGGTAGTTTTTTACAAAATAATGGGTTAAAATCAAACCTTGATGAAGAGAAGTGATGGTTAAGCTTTGAAGTGTCGATACGGCAGCCATGGTTGCAAGAAATTGAAGAAATTGTGGGTTCTCTGCATGGAGATGGCTAATATGAAGGGAGAGTGAGAAAGATGAATCTGAAACAGAGCACATAGAGACTCAATTAGTGTTTGCTTCAAACTAATGACAGTAAACAAATTAAGGTGGGGGATTTCTGTACATTAAAAAAATAATTTGGAAACATACATGAGTAAATAAAATCTAATTAGGAACTTGACATTACAAAATTCTACAATAAACTACTGAAAAAGCAGAAAATGCATAATAAAAGAAATGGAAACAAAATACCCTACAAATTATGACTATCAAAAATGTAAACTTGCAAAAGAATAAAGAGATAAGTGAGAAGAATAAGAAGGGCAAAACCAATTTCAAGCATCCATGAGTAGTTTAAACCAATTTAGGAACATGCAAGAAGTAAATCCTACAATAACACATTCAGAAATCAGAAAATCTAATAAAAAAGACCCCAAGAACCGGAAACAAATACCCATTAGGAATTGAAGGATAAAAGTAGGTATTTCAGGATTATATTATAGAATAAACATAAATCTTTGAAGAGAAAAAATAGATGAAAAGGGGCAAATACTCACCAGTTTGAAGCGTGAAAAGAGAGAGAGAGGAATGGAGAATATGTTTTGATGAAAAGGGGGAGCTACTTTTAGTTCTTTCCATGTGGGTATAAAGTGACTATAGCCAATAAAATCGGGCCAGACAAACCTAAAATTTAAAGGTTGCACAGTACACTTTATACTCCTATTTATACTACCGTATGATGTTGTGTTCGTCCCAATCTTACAAGCTTATATATAAGGGTAATAAAATAATATATATATATTTCTTTTCTATTATACAGAAACATGAAGTCGACTACATTCAAGGGCAAAAGAGTAATTGACTTATCAGTAGTTTCATGTTAAAAATAAAAATCTAGAAGCATCTCTTTCTTTTTTTTTCTACTGCATTCCGGATCTCCTCAATTCGACACACACGAGATGAATTTCTAGAGTATGAATTGTGAGAGAAAAACTATTGAAGTACTCATTCAATTCTCTTCAGAGTTTCAAGATTTCTTAGAACTTGAGGTAAAATTCTCTCTCAATCTTTGTGCAAATTGTCTTAACGTCAAATTGTTTCCTACTTGTTACTGTCTTCTTTCTTCTCTATTGTTCTTTATATATTTAGTTGTTTGAGTTTTATTTGTCATGAATGAACTCAACTTACTTGACAACTTCTACTTTTGCTGACTCAAATCAGCTGAAGTATTTTGTTATTTTTTATTATTGTTGTTGCACATCACCCACAAAAATTCCAAATTGGGAAATCACAATCTAAGACGCAAGCTTCAACAATGGTGGATTTCGAAGCTTTTCATATTATTATTTTTTGATTCGGTATACAATCATAGTTAATCAAATTTTTAGGTTCCAATTTCTTCTTATGTTCCAACATTAGAGTCTCAAATGCCTACCGATAGACACGAAGCTTCTCTATTTATTAGATGAATGAGGACAAGAAGATCTTAAAAGAGGTAAAGGAAAAGACCAACTTCATTTTACTGCTTTAGGATCTAACTTGATTCTACAAGTTTTATTGGAATTGCTATAAAAATAAACTCAATTGTTTTTTTATTAACTTAACACAATTTGAGAAGAAAAAAGAAATTTTGAATGTCTGGACAATCGTCAATATCTCTGATGGTGCCTACTCCGCAAAGCGCAAAGTTGAAGGGAGCTCAACGAGTTACTTTCTAAGGTACACTAATTTAACTAAGCATAAATTTGAGAGTGTTTTATATTAGATGAACTTAGAGGTCGTTTGGTATAAGGGTTAATATTTCGAGGTGAAATGTAAGACCGTTTTATTTTGCATATGTTAGGGGTATTAGTTAGTTGTGAGATTATTTATCCCATCATTTGTACTAAAATTATGGAATAAGTTATCATATGTAAAGGGTGGGATAACCAATCCCATGGAACGACCCCTTAGTGTAGTAATTCAAAGGAGGTGATTAAATTTTCCAACATTTGACATTACTAAAACACAATTTATGTTTAAAGAATATTCGGAATAATTTGCTTGTTCTAACTCTCTTTTACTTTTTTTATGATTGTGTAGCAAAGCTGGATGATTATTAGAGCTTCAATCGCATATGTGTGTAAAGAGCCCACCATATGAAATTGATAGAAATTATGGGACAACATTTATATGTGGCATGATCTCAAACTACTTAATGGTGAGTCTTGATAGTATAGTATTTCAAAAAGTTACAATCAGATTATTAATTAGTACTACATATTATACACATCTAGGTTGTATAAGTGTGACAACAGATTGATATATTTTAAGATCGACTAGGGATGGAAAGTATAAGTACTTGAATAACTATAAGTGAACCCTTCTAGATGCTACAATGCAGACTTTGTTGCTCTTTTCAGCTATACGCATTAAGGGAGTCCACAACTTCAAGATTTCCATTCAAAATTTAATCTAATCTCTATACTAACACGCAAACACATCTAATTTTAGGCGAAGAATTAAACACCAAAAATGCTAGACTAAAGTCGTGTAATAGGAGAAATTGTTAAGTTGTTTTAAGTGTTTTATTTCAAAGGCATAAAGAGAGAGGTGAATGAAAGGATAATTTTCAATTTAGTGTTTTAGGATATATTTCTTGCATCTAGAGATTTTATTGAAATTTCTAGAAAACTTAACTTTGTTGCTCTGCGGTAGTCATCACAGAAATTGAGAAGGAAAAGAAATTTGATGATTTTATAATTAATTTAATGACTTGTGAGATAGTCTCTGCTACTTGACATTGATTGGATTACATTAAGCATTGATATTGTAGTGGCACTTCAAAAAATATGCATTAGAATTTGAAGTTCGTTGTAATCTCTCTTTGTTATTGTTGGTGTTTTTCCTTGGTGGACAGGTCTATTTTCTCTAAATTCTTGCAAAGTTTTGTACAAATAATTATTAATTTATGTGTACTTTCTTCATATTTTGGTATTTTTAAGATTGAATTTCAATCAGTGTGATGTAAATATTATTAGATGGGTCCAAGTTTGATTTCATTTTTACTAATTGCAGGCGATGGACTAAGAGTACCTAACATTTATGAGTATAATAATTTCAAGATATAATTTGTTTTCTCCTTCAACCTGTGATTTTCATTTCTTCATCCTATATGCTTTTATGTTTGATGCATTCTTTGTCGGTATATTTTGCCTAGCCAACATGAAAGTTTACTCACATAATGGAATCTATGTATTATATAATAACTAAATCATGAGTCAGAAAAATTTTCTTTCAATCTATTTCTATTTGTCACCGTCTCGTGAGTTCGTTCTCCCTCATCTCTCTCTCTCTTGTGCTCTTTTTCGCTCCCAGTTTTTTCTCTCTTTAAATTTTTTGTCTATATAATTGTTCTCGTACTCTCTGTTTCAGCTAACCCATGCTATTAAAATTGGAATTTTGAACATTATATAGATGCTTTAAAGGCAATCCTTATAATATGACAAATAAAATTTGAAACTTATTTCTTCTCCATGAAATATGTTATCACGTTGAAGTTGAAATTTGTTCTTTGTTTCTTCTTGAGTGTGCTTATAATTATGTTGCCTTCTTTATAGTTTTGTCTTTTTAATTATATTAATGAGAAACTCGGTCAAGAATATGCTTCTGCAATCTAATATTGGGGATACATATTCAAGAATTATGATGTTGAGGAGAGGTGCAAAATAATTAGGAAAATTACACAAAGGAAGACACTTAAATGTCTCTGCTTCACTAAGAGTTGTGCATTTTACCTCACCTTACAAAGGTTGGTTTTCTAATTTGGACATGGCGTGCATAACTAATGTTCTTTGCAGGTAACTAGGAACTATGGTGCTTTAAGGAGGTGACTGTAGCTGGAACTTCTGATACCATTTGTTTCATTCAAGGATGCTGATTATGATGACTCAATTTGTGTAGTGAGTTGTATATACACTAAGTAAGTTACAGAGTGTTTTTGGTTTCAATTTCAGGGGTTTTATATTTGTCATTGTTGATATGCGAAGAGTAGGTCTCGGTTCTTTGTTGTTGGTTCTTTCCAAAGTACTACATTTTTGTAGATTGACTTTGGTAAATGAAAAAGATAGTGTTATCATTCCTTATGAAGGGATTTTTTCTTGTCAAGTATTGTAAGTTCATAATCTGATTGTAATATATTATTTTTTACCTGCCTTAATTGATTAAACTGTAGTAATATTTTTTGTGGAATCATTATAGATTAAAATTAAGTAACGACATCTTGAAGTGATTTATCACATTTCAGTTGGTTGGAAGTCGAAGAAGAAGAGAAAAAGGAACTCTAGAATGTGCTGCGAACTGCAAATTTGTAATGACATGATGACACTAAGATTACTGTCATTGAGTTGTGAAAATTATGATGTCTGGTCCAGAAATTCAGGATTAGAAAAAGTAGGGTCTATATATATTTATATTAACAACTCCATAATACTTAAATATATCTAATATTATTATTGTAGACTTTATTTGTTGTAGTTGCCACAAGTATACTGTCATTAATTAAAGTAACTTTTCCTTCTTTCTCTGGTGAGGTTGCATATTAGAACATGTAAGTTATTGTTTGATTTTCTAAAAATAAAAAGACATATTATTATAGAGTGTGATTTTTATCATAACGGAAAATGGTCATATTTTTCCTTGTACTCTTAGAAAAAGGTTATATTTACCTCGCCATACTTTTTTGATATATTTGTCCTTACCATCCAACTTTAGGTACATACATAGTTGCCCTTAGACCATCTCCAATCCACCTCTATTTTACTCTCTATTGTCTATATTTGGAGAGTAAAATAGAAAATGAACACTCCAACCCACCTCCATATCACTCTCTATTCTTCAAATTTAGAGAGTTGAATAGTAGTTCTCAAAATTTGGAGAACTACTATTCACAATCTCTATTTCACTTTTTCATTATTTTATTATTATTTTTATTACTTTCTAATTAACATATTATTTTACATATAATGTCATTAATTAAATATATAATATTCATGATTCTTCTTAATTGTAATATAATATTTAAAAAAATTTAATATGTACTACTTTAATCTCGAATTAATATTTTTTTTTTAAATTTTCGTCAATAATATAACTTGATTTTATTATTAAGTTTCACTATAAAGAATACACAAAAATAAAATGATAAGATGAAATTTTTAATTTTGAAAATTGAGGATAAAAATGCTCATTTTGAATGCCGTAATGCATTAATAGAGCATTTATGGGAGCAACATAATAATTTTGAAAATTGTGTGTTATGTAATGTTTATGCAATTGTATTTCACTTTTATTTGAATTTGTGCATTAATTTGTATATTATATTATATTTTCTTGCAATTTATGTTATTTAAAAATTTAGAATGGAATATAATTTTATATTAAATAAAAAATTTGAAAAAAATAAAAAAATTTATCACATGAAAATTGTTATAAAGTAATTATTTGGGGAAAAAATTAAAGGATTTATATTATGAAATAAGAAAATAAGAATTAAATAGAAATAATAATATAATATTAAGGAGAGATAAAAAGATTCTTTTTTAGAGAGTGAAATAGAGAATTGAGTTGGAGTTAGACCATCTTCAATCCCACTCTATTTTACTCTCCATTCTCTATATTTGGAGAGTAAAAATAGAGAATGAGCTTTCCAACCACCCTCCATTTCACTCTTTATTCTCCATATATAGAGAGTTGAATAGTAGTTCTCCGAATTTGAAGAACTACTATTCACACTCTCTATTTCACTTTTTCATTATTTTATTATTTTTTCTATTATTTTGTAATTAACATATTATTTTTCATAAAATGCTATGAATTAAATCTCTAATATTTGTAATTCTTTTTAAATGTAATATAATATTTTTAAAAATATATACTCCATTATTTAATATTTACTACTTTCATTCGAATTAATAATATTTCAATTTTTTAATTTTTTTTTGTCAATTTAATATAATTTGATTTTATTACTAATTTTCACTATAAAGAATGCACAATTTTAAATGGTCTACAATTGTTCAAACTATTCGTAATTC